CGAAAAAGACTATTGCAAAGGTAAAAACGATTACGGTGACGGTGGAATTATATTTGGTTTATATTTAGCACCAAAAGTCAAATACAACATCGTTTTGACTTCTGATGGTGTCTTAAAAGAAAAGAAAACGTTTAAAGGTTATTCTAGTGATAAGATAAGTGTAGAAGATTACGTTCAGTTAGCAAGCGGACATGATGTGTCGAACGAATTTAATAAACCATGGGAAAAAAGTTTCACCAATGGAGTAGTTATTCCAAATGATAAACAAACTAAAGTTTTTAGAAGTTATTTGAATAATGTTAAAAGAAAACCACCAAAAAGTGAAGGAATTATGTATCCTTACAACGACAAAGATGAGTATAGTTTTGACGAAAACTATGAATTTGATGATTTCGATTATCTTTCTAATCAAGAAGAGAATGAAGATTGTTTTAAATGAAGTTGAATGACAATTTTTTCGTTGCCAAAGTCTATGAACCTGTTTTTACCGTCTTTGATTTCCAGATTTATATCTTAGATCATGAAAGAATTGACTGGTAAATAGGTCGTTTGAAACGGTTTCTCTATAATTCTGTATCCGATCGGCACCGTAAAAGTCGGTATGCTGTATATGATTTGGCGTTTGTGCTTGTTGAAAAATCCACCGTTGATCAAATTGCAGTGAATGTTGATCACGTCGATGTCGTTCTCGATGTTGGCCTTGTGCGGCACCAATGTCGATTGCGCGTATATTCGTTTATCGAACCCTAGTAACGCATTCAACGAATTTTCTACGTTGAAATCGACTTGACTGTTATTTCTCAAGATCAGTTTTATTTTGTTCAGATTCAAATTACCTTCGAATTCGATATTGTTTTTACCGTTCACGCTTCCTGCGTATTCGGATAGGTATTCGTTGATGGCTACGTATTCGTAGCTCCCCGGTAGTAAGCTTATGGTTTCGAACGTAACTCCGTTATCCGTCGATATTTTTAGTTGATTGTTTTTTTCGTTGATGTTTCTAATGGAATTGTAAACGGAGAAATACTTTAATCCCAGTTCGTACTGTTTATTGCGATCGAGTTCATACTCGTAGTCTAGAGACAATTTGATGTCTGGTTTATTCGAGGTGATAACGAACAATTGTTCTTTATTGGACATTTTTTAATGACGTTTATATAGTCTTTTTTAGTGATATGCCATTGACTTCGTTGTATTGTCTGTCCGATCGATGACCTTCTTTCATGGCCGCTAATATTATTTCTAATCTATTAAGCAATTCTTTATTGTTGTCAGATAAAAACTTTATACCTTGTCCAGATGCCACCATATCATCGAATTCGTCTATTTCTTGTATGATTGGATAATCTTCTGCATAATCATCTACCTCCTCTTCATCTTGCTCTATAACTTTTGTTATATATAAATCAACTTCTTTCAATCTTCTTGTTTCGGGTCCTGACTTTCTGATCGCATGTAGAAATTTTGAGTATGCTACTAAATCCTTGTAATCGGCAATTTCAACATCCTCGCCATTCATTAAATCTATTAACCCTCTCGTTAATGTGTATATGTAATCTTTTGTATCGATTATAAATTCGGGGGTATTTGTCCTAAATCTTGTTCTAAAACCATTGAACAACAAACCCGCTTCATCAATGATT